GTCGTCGTCGTCGTTATCGTCGTCATCGTCGTCATCGTCGTCATCGTCGTCATCGTCGTTATCGTCGTTATCGTCGTTGTCGAATACGCAGTCCGGATATTAGTCTCTCAAACTGTGCTGTTCTGCCAGTTGTGGGTTACTTCGATCCATCTTCGATGGATGTATCCTATACAAACTCGAAGAATATCGTCGTTGTCAACGACGAGGTTCGTACCTCGCTACCTCTCTTTTTTTTTCTTCACTCACATCGTACCTCTCTTACTCATTCGACGATCGTTACACGCTATTAGAATATGAATGAGCGTTGTCCTCGCCTGATAAACAATCGAACAATTGTCACGAAAAATCGTCTCTTTATTTTCGAATCCGTTTTCTGTCTCTTCGCGTCTTTGTCTTTACCTACCTCCCCACTCTACCTTCCCAGCCGCCCTCCCCTCCCTTCTCTCTTACCACCCCTCCTATCCGTCTGTGCAGCGTCTCATTTGTGTGGGTGCCTTTTACGCTCACGGATCCTTGTTCCGCGTCGAAGTGCCGCGGATGAACGGATCCGTGCATCCATCCACGTCGTCTTCGTCGTTCCCTTTGTCACCGTACGTTTGTAGCGAAGAAGAACGTGGCCTGTCCGCCACGCGGTGCTGTTCGATTGTTGCAAGAAGCACGTTGCAACCTTGCAGATTTGGAGGGAAACTGGCTGACCGTGGTCTATCCGGCTGGCTAACGTGGCTCGTGTGTAAACAGAAACGGCGCGCATTGCTGATCAGAGTCTCCAATTCGGAGATATCTGCGACGTTGGCCTGCGTTTCCTCGTGATCTCAACCATGTTTCTCCGCCGAGTCATTGGTTCGGCGTCTCGTGTTTTCTCCGCTGTGTCCATTTCTATCCGAATATTCTCCTCGTGATCGAAACTTTGGAATTGGAGGAAATCGTCGTGTACGGATGTATCATCGCTTTAATTATCCGGAATAGGGTTGAACACCTGGCCGACTTCCATGGCCTTTAAATATCTTGCCAGGGTCAAGATTCTGAGTATGTAACTTTTTCCTATACATGTGTAATCTGTTGCTAGGTTTTAGTTTTCAAGGTATAGAAGACAACCAATGTTTCACGCTATATACAGGTACATCGTTGTTCTAAATTAGAAATCGGTACAATTCCTAAATGAAGGGAGATTCTGTCGCTGAAAATAAGACCAGGAATAATGAATTTACGAATATACTCTCGAGAAAATCAAATTCGAGAACCTGGAAAACCTGTTCAAATATTTTGTTGATTTTTGCGAACCGTGTGTTTGCAACGTGTAAATACATATTCTATAACATTGATATCCATCATCAGTTTGGTTTCACAGATCAGCACATTACGATCATGACAGTCGAAATTTCAAAATGTTTTACGTCGTATGTTCAATATACGCATAAAAGTTTTCTTTCACGACGAGTGTCCAAATACTCTTGCACGAGCATCGTGTACGGACGCGTAATTAATTGATATGGCGTGTATCTCGCGATGATTTAGAATTGGACCTCCCTCGTGTGTTTGGAGGTCTTGAACGTTAGAAACAGCAGTCACCCGTTGTATCTCCTCTAGATCCAAATGGAACGGTTCTCTCTTAGATAATAAACATGGTCGGCGCCGAAGCGCAATCATTAAATCGCGTTTTATTATGCCGCGATCCGACGCAGCGATCACGTTAATTTCGTCGATCTCTCCGCGTTGCACAAGGAATCTTTGCAAAATCGATCGAATTAACATTCGAATTTTGATGTACACTTTCTCCTGAAATCAGGAAGGAACATCACGAGAATGTTAAAAAACATCCGGTTTACGTACAACAAAGGGAACAATGCGGTCGCGTGTGTAAACACGGCGATAAATCGATACGATGTTCGTATCGGCTTACGCAACGTGTTTCTTAACGAAGAAATGATTTCGCAGGAAGGATTCGTCGGACAGATGTATTCGCGAATGACGTTACATTGGGAATGTCCATCGAATGGTCGATCGATTTCTCTACACCGCGCCGGCGATTGATACAATCTTCTTGAAATTTCGAACTCACGTGCAAAGAACCGTAGCTTGGATTGCATACAAAAACGATCGTTAAAGGCGAGCTTACGAACCAAACCTTGTACTTAACGCTTTAACTCCAAAATCATTAAATCGATCTCTAAAAATAGTAAAACTGATAAACCTATGCACTGACGAAAGTTTTCGAACGTAGCTCTAGCGACCTCTCGTAAATATAATCCGCGTGTCTTACGAAAGATTTTGATAAACATTCTAATCAGGCGCAACTATCGTGATCATATCAAAAGTCATATTAGGAAGATTTAAAAGAAATTTGAGATTTATAAATTGTATACAGAAATTACAAAATTGTCACGTTTAATTATTCGTTTAATATCGATAAGCCTTCGTTTTAACACTTATTATATATATTTAAGATTACTATTCACGATACATATTAATTTCTTATTAAATGCTTTCCAACTTGCTTTCAAATTTTACTGATGCAACCAGTCGTGTCTCGTTGCACAAAAGTTTGTCACGATAATTATTCAAATACACACTTTCGCGAGTCACTGTATGCTATATTTTGTTGTTTTCAAGTCAAACGTATCTGTATTATACCGATGTACGATTGTTTCGTCGTCTAAAATTGGTACCACAGATGCTTCCGTTCATAAATTATTTTCATACGTGAAATCTAAAACGACTCCATGACGCTTCTGCACACGTGATACAATTTCCAACCCAATGTTATAGTAAACATTTTAATGAAAAAGAGCGTTTCTCTATTTTCCAACGATTTATATATTTGAGTAATGCAAGATAACACAAAAAAAGAAGCGTGCGTACGCGCGCGCGCGCGTGTGTGTGTGTGTGTGTGATAATAATGCAAATGTAATTTTTTTGAGTCTAAGCAATTTGCTCAAACAAGAAAGCCTTGTCAAAAGTAATTATTATTAGATGGTTATTAGGTACGTAGATATTAATCGGGTGCAGAATTTGATCCATGTTAAAAATACATGATACCCCGATGCTGCATTGCGAGCTAAAGGGCTAACTAAGATGTTAGGACGAGTTCAGTGACCTACATCGCAAGGTCATCGAAGGTCACATACAGGTGACGTGGTAGGTGAGCGAACCTTAGAGATTCTTCGTCGTTGCATGCCATTTATATAAACTGATACGATAGAAATACAGGTATAAATTTCAATTTTTAATCTGTTGTAATAATTCATTCCTCGCCGACTGCAGAATTCTGTTTTATCATTACATGCACAATAGAAAATTTATGCATCATTTACGAGGCAACGTTTCATTTACGTTACTTTTTTTTCAATTTATTGTAGATCATCGAATTCTATCTTTTCACATTGTAATTATGAAGTGAAATTCAGAGTATTTTTTATCCTGATTTCTTACATATATTCTACAATTTTATGGTATTTGAATTCAAGTTTAATTATTGCACTGTTATAAAATACGTTTCCTTGAAATCATGGAAATTTGTCTTATCTTTTCGATTAGTATAGAGAACTTCTGTTCAGTAAGACATGACTGCGATCTTCGATCTTTGAATTCGGTTCGTCTAAAAAATTGTTATTCTATATTTTCGATTTATTTTCTCACATAGAATCAGCCCGTGCTTGATTGTTCGTTTCTTTCTCGTTCAGATAGTTTTACGAAACATCGCCAGTTTCTATACCTTTTGACGCAATCGACGAACACGAGGCGCACTGGGCCTCTTGAACGTCGACATCAAGTGCGTTTTCGCTAATCCATTGAAAATTCAACGATCAACGTACATACTAATTTATCAGATGATTTGTGCAAATCAACGAGGAGTGGAGGTAATTAATGCAATCCTATCGGAAAACTGTTGCGCTGCCTTCGATCCACAGGTCGATTTCCTTTTCGTTTCATCCCTCCACATTGCTTCTGAAACGTTAAACGAAGTTGTTAGCATGTCAAGAGCGGTGTTCTAGAATTGAATTCTTGTTTAGCCGATTTGCATTTATTTTGTATTCACGTTAGAAGATTCGAAACTGCGAAACGTTATTTATAGAAGGATCGATAAAACGGATCGCGTATTGATCTCGCGACCGTTCCGTTCTCTCGGATTGCTGGCTTAGAAGTCGGAATAAGGGTATCATTTTTAACTCACGTCGCTATGCTATTAACTATTTATTAGCCATACCTCAAAAATCAATGAACGCGGCGGTTCAATGCACCGCTCTGATTTCTACTTAACTTGGTCGAGAGAGAACGTTAATAAGAATTAATCCTCTGTGTTACGTACAATCTTGAAAATTTACGAGAGTATCGAGTTTTAAGGAACTATAGAACGTAGAAAGAACATAGACAAAAGACAGGAGTGCGATACGACGAATCGCATATATTATCATTTAGGAAAATTTCATTATCGATCAATTTCATTTAAAGAAAGTTCTCGTATATCAAAAGTATTGATTGTCATAGCATTAGATAATTTCTTACGAAACTTTGCGGGCTTATCGCGTATTTTGGAAACTCTTATAATTTTAAATCTAGCAGGTCGTTCTCTTTTTCAACTATGTCGCTGCGAACTGGTATAAAAATTAGGAAATCAACGAAACATTTCGCTAGTTGTTCCCGCGTCGTCTTCCTACACGAACATGGTAAATGAAAAACGTATCTGATACACGTGACAGACGTACAAAATTATAAGAGAGAAAGATTGTAACAAGAAGGGAACGCGCTTAATTTATAACGGTTGATATTAGTAGGATAAGGATTTACGTAAAAAGCGAAGGATTTCCATGATCGATGATAATGATCATTGTTCTAGAAAAAAGTAAGTCGCGTGGGCGTGGGAGGAGGGGGCCAGGTCGGGCAAGGGGTACAAGCGGTTGAGGATTCCGGTGCAAGCGGTCAATGGTGGAGGCAACAGCATCCATCGTATCACCATCATCATCATCATCACCAACATCATCACCATTACCATCATCAGGCCGGTTATTATACGTCGCAATCGCACACTCACAACAACCCTGTAACGACCATGAAGCAGTCTTACATGCAGGTTGGTCAACTTGTACTCTCACGCATGTCACTTTGTTCTCGCTTTGCGTTATCATCTGCTAAACGCTGTTGTGTCCTTTGAAAATGAAACTCGTGTTCGCGTTACCGCGGGCTCGATCTCATCTTCCGCTAAATCCCCAACGAAACGATCTCACAATTGTCTCGAGGTGAATTTATTCGGGTCTGTTTCTTTTTTTTTTTGGTTCCAGCTAACATGGGTGTTTCATGACGACGAGGCGCAGATTAATAAGAAACTGCCAAAAGAATTGCTGCTTAGGTATCGTAACACGTATAACACCTGTATCAGTTGTTCTTTTTTTTTTTTTTCTTTTTTCGTCGACCTACTTTGCTTAAACGACTCTCCTCTTTTCTTATTTTCTTTTATTTTCATCGCTGTTGTTGTTGTTGTTATTACTATTATTATTATTATTATTATTATTGTTGTTATTGTTACTATTATTTTATTATTATTATCGTTGTTATATTTCCTTCTTGATGGTGCCGTGAGTTTCTTTTCGAAAGAATAGTCAGACCGGGAAACGTGTAACATAATTACCGTACGTACTATTGGCAGAATTCTTTCGTATCTCGACGTGGTATCGCTATGCCGGTGCGCGCAAGTAAGCAAAGCCTGGAACGTGTTGGCGCTCGACGGATCCAATTGGCAAAGAATCGATCTCTTCGATTTCCAACGAGACGTGGAGGTAAATCGAACCTTCGACGCGTTGTTTACCACTCGGCCAAGTTTTTCGCCATTTCTCTCTGCTTTCGTTTCAGCATATGGCAAAAAGATGAACGATGTTACGTCGAACTGTAAACTTACCGAACTCGATTTTACTATGAATCTTTAAATATAGTTGATCCAGCGCGTATTACCGAATCTCTTCGAGATCCGATTTGAAAACCTTTTCATTAAGGTGGTAAACAACGCGTTGATCGCCCAGAGAAAAATCTTTCTCGAAGATCGTTCATTTGTTGCAAAACTAACTAGAACGTTCGAAACGCAGGGACCAGTTATAGAAAATATATCGAGACGATGCGGAGGTTTTCTAAAGCAGCTGTCTCTCAGGGGATGCCAGAGCATCGGCAACAATTCGATGCGCACGTTGGCTCAGTCCTGCACCAATATCGAGGAACTGAATCTTAGCCAATGTAAAAAGATCTCGGACACTACCTGCGCCGCCCTAAGCAGCCACTGTTCGAAACTTCAACGACTAAACTTGGACTCGTGTCCCGAGATAACGGACATATCCCTGAAGGATCTCTCGAATGGTTGTCCGCTTCTCACTCACATCAATCTGTCCTGGTGTGAGTTACTTACCGACAAGGGAGTCGAAGCGTTGGCGAGAGGTTGTCCGGAACTCCGTAGCTTTCTATGCAAAGGCTGCCGACAGTTAACAGACAGGGCTGTCAAATGTCTCGCCCGCTACTGCCACAATTTGGAAGCGATCAATTTGCACGAATGCAGGGTACTTGCAAATGCAATTAACGTAACTTCCATGTTTTAGCGCTCGTATGATTTGCCAACAGGGACTCGATATTACGGTCACCTGGATATTTTCTAGATCGTTTCTAAAGCTATGATCACAGTAGACGCGTGTTCCGACGAACAAGATATCCAAAGACCGAAATGTGTACACTCATCGACGGCAAAAAATATTTGCACGTGATTGTATTTATTATAATATTTACGTACTGATTAATTAGATCCAAGTACATTAATTTTCCGGACCATTTACAAATATTTTCATATAATTATGCATACTAATTTGATACTATGAAAGTTAAAATGTAGAATCTATTAAGGCTGTGTACAAATACTTTATTCTAATTACTCTACATATGTATTTGCTTGCTCTGAAGAATTTGTCGGAACAACAACTCGTCAAAATAGATACATCATCTAACCGTAGTCTACATCTATCGCGCGTATTATGAAATTCCCGGTTAATCAGAAATTACGATCGAATAACAAGGCCAAGCATACGAGTGTAAAGATTACGGATTGGGCGTCGTAATGAATATCAAACCGATGAAATCTAGAAATTGTTTCTTGTTGAAATATTTGATCGAACGTTTTCTTTCTTTGCGACGCTGAATCTATTTGGAAAGCTATCTTCTATTTGGCGTGTGATTCATGATAACGAATTCGTTGCAGAATATAACGGATGACGCAGTCAGAGAACTCAGTGAACGATGTCCACGATTACATTATGTTTGCCTGTCGAATTGTCCTAATCTAACGGACGCGTCTTTGGTCACGCTGGCGGAACACTGTCCACTCCTTAGCGTGCTCGAATGCGTGGCTTGCACTCATTTCACCGACACGGGCTTTCAGGCTCTCGCCAAAGTGAGTTGATCAACGTGACTGAATTCACTGTGATTCCAAACACACACGTGATATCTGGAAGACACGTTCTCTTCGTTATTTCAGAATTGCAGATTACTAGAGAAGATGGACCTAGAAGAGTGCGTTTTAATAACAGACATCACCCTCGTTCACCTGGCCATGGGCTGTCCAGGGTTGGAGAAACTGGTAAGCGGATTTGAACAACCTTAAGCTGTGTTCTCGTCGAAGCAACGTCGATGCTCCATGTTTCTTGAAAAAATCACCCAACGTTTCCCTATGTTTCTTCGCCTTTTTGTCGCCAGTAACAAAAACTGCTGGTTATTACCTTTCGAAGTGAAGTAAGGACCAAAGAAAGGGAAGAAACCGAAATAAAATCCAAACGTTCGTTGCCTCGGTATGAATAAAACTTTTTAAAATGATATCTGTTGAATATTGTCTGCAAAATGCAGCAACGATAAGCAACAAAAAGCTCCCGGTTATTGCTTCAACGAGGACGCAGATTGAACTTGATAAAAGAAATAGTTTTGGATGCAAATGACTAATTTCTCGGATCGGTTACTTTCTTTACGCAGAGTTTGTCTCACTGTGAATTGATCACCGACGATGGCATCCGACAGTTGGCCATTTCGCCGTGCGCAGCGGAACATCTGGCGGTGTTGGAATTGGACAATTGTCCCCTCATCACAGATGCTAGCCTCGATCATCTTCTACAGGCCTGCCACAATCTCAAGCGCATCGAGCTTTATGACTGTCAACTGATCACCAGAGCTGGCATACGTAGACTCAGAGTACCGTATCATACGTTCCTAATTTCATCCTCGAAAATAATATTTCGCTTATGGAGTGTTGAACGTCCTTCGACTCGATATAGATAAAATGTCGTATAATCAAGGATTATCTTCAAACTGGTGAAATCTTTACTTCTTTTCTTAGTTAAAATGCTCTACCTATTAATTGAAACATAAAAAAGCATTTTCGTTTCGTCTTTGTTTCTCTTCGTGCGATCGAATTTTACTTAAAAGATAAAAAACACAGAGAGTTTCAAGTATATGTAGTATCTACTAAAAGCATCATTTATTATTATATTTATTACGGTACTTACATATCAATTAATTAGGTCCAAGCGTATTAAATTTCTTATTGTTCAGCTGAATTTTCGTTTGACTCCAAAAATTTGTCTCCAAATATGATACCATAAAAATGAAAAGATTCTACGTAGGGCATTTTAATCAGGATAGCCTAACTGTGAATACTAACAAAGCAAACAAACAATTTTTCCCGAAATCCCGGAACGATTCTGTTCGCTTCTTCCTCCATTGTTTTTTGTTTTAAATTAAAAAACAATTTGATTCGTTCTGTTTCAGGCACATTTGCCCAACATTAAAGTCCACGCGTACTTCGCTCCAGTGACACCGCCGCCGAGCGCGGGAGCGTCACGGCAGCGATACTGCCGATGCTGCGTCATTCTGTGATTTCGCATAAAAATGACTCTGATGCAAATCGTCCGATGTACCACGCTACCGGTGGACTTGTAATTTCGATGATCGCCGATACACGGCGATCGTGGGACCTTCTCTCTTCCGGTTGCCAGACCGAGACTCTGGTTGCCATTCGTCAACAGTGAGAACAAGCCTCGTCGGGAATGAAATCGCGATTCCTTCGACAGATATACCAATTCGACTCGCAACACACGCAACAAGTACAAAAGGACAGTACGTCACCGTCACCTAACTGATACACACACACACACACACACACACACACACACACACACACACACACACACACACACACACACAAACCACCAGCTGCTGCTGCAATTGTTACTAATGTGTCGCTGCTACTACCGCTCACTATAAAACTGTTTCTATCACCGCTGTTCGACACTGTACAACGGTGTACAATGATATCGTTTCTACTGGAACTCTATTGAGTTTCGATAGTACGTGCTTTGCTAATAATCGCCGTCGTTTCATCACGCGCGTAAGACCATTCAGCGAAGTAAAGGAAAAGATATTCTTGGATTTTGTTGGCGGTCGTTTCGTTCCCGGATTTCACACTTGTAGAGCATCGATTTTTCGAGAAAGTAAGAAACGGACAAAACAGGAAAAAAGAAAAAAGAAAGGAAACGGGACGACAAAGGACAAAGACGCTAATAACATTGTGGACGACGAAGAGGACGATGACGACGCGTGCGATAGAGCGGGCAATTTTTTTATCCAAGCGACACGGTCCGCTCCTATACGGGCAAACGCGATCGTACGTATCGATCGAGAGCCTGAAATTTTCGCGGTCGGATGTTCCACGTGAAACAAAACGATAAGCATATATACATACGTATATGTATTATATACATACATATATACATATATACATATATTTTTTTAGTACGACGCATTCTCTCTTCTGCTAAACGTTAATCGTCAAAGAAAAATGTACGCGCAATCCGTTCCGGGTGGTAACGGCATACAGCATGCGTCCAGTGATCTTTTCTCGAACTCGAAAAGGGGAACGAAAAGAAAAAGGAATGATACGAAGGAGGGAATGGAAAACGACGTCGCGTTAAAACGTGTTTCAAGCTGCGTATAAAAGCCGTGCTATTATTCTAGACATTCAATTTCTATCGAAGATTCGTATCTTTGTGTGTGCGTGTGTGTATGTGTGCGTGCTGCGTGCGCGTGTGTATGTGAGCGCACGCTTTCGTACGTGCATGTGTATGCGTGTGTGCGTGTTGCTGTAGCAGTTTCTCAAACGAACACTGCCTATTATAAAGTTATTGATAAAGAAAAAGAAGAAAAAGAAAAAAAGAAAAGAACACAAAGAAAACTCGACGAAGAAAAAAAATGGTTTAAAAAAGAGAAAAAAATAGAAAAGACACGAAACTACCAAAAAACAGAGAGAGACAGAGAGAAAAGAGAAGAAGACACGCGAGAATCGTAGAGATGATCGCGGGTTGTTTGAATCTCACCGCGAAACCATAGATCGACCCGTGTACCGTCGTTCGTTTTAAGCTAAATATATACACATTGTTCGTGAAAACGGACGATACGTGTTTCTGTCTACCAAAACCGAAATTCTCGATCTCGCACACGCGACTGGTAACTGCGACACCTACGAATTTCTTTCTTTTCCTTTTAATGAGACCGGCGTGCACATCGCGAGATTTAACACACCTAACGAGAACGGAAACGTGAAACTTAGATGAATCCGGCACGGTTGTTGACTTCGCTTCTTCTTAGGGAAGAACCGAAGAGAAAACGACAAGAAAGAAAAGGAAGAAGAAGACAGGAGGGAAAGAAAGACAAAGATGCGATGGTCTGTCGTGTTCGAAGCTCCCATCTAATTACTGTTGGCGTCCGTTGGTAGCACGTTTATGATACATTTACAAGAACTCGCAGACGAACGGCTAAATACACGGACAACTGGTTCTGTTCGCGAGTCGCGCTTATTGAGTCTCTAATGTACTATGTTCCACCTCCTAACGACCCAAACATTCATATATACAGCTTTTTATTTTCTTTTTTTTTCATCTCCTTTCGTTTTATTATTATTTTGTTCGTATTTTAATTCGTCATGGACTAGGAGAGCACAGACTGAGAAAACGAATCAAAACGTTGATACGTTGAATAACCCGATTCACTTGGGCCCAGCGATCGACTCGCTGGCGGATTCTTACTTTTTAAGCTTAGTTTTATGGTATGGTGGCAGTACGAGTACCGTGGACGTATTACGCACGTTCCCGTGACCATATGTCGTGGACGTGTCAGTACTAAGAAATTCGTTTGCTTCGCGATCTTCGAATCGTGAGTACATATAGTTATATAACATATGAAGAAAGAACGAGAAAGAGTCGGACTAATTCGAAATAAAACAAAATAGAAATATAAAAAGAGGACAGAATAGAACGGTACACGAAACAAAGATGTATTTGTTCCCGTTCGTTGGAAAAGAAAAAAGAAGAGGAAGAAAGATCGAGATTAACATTTGATAGGATATTTGTCGTTTGGAAGTATGAGGTTCAGGATGGCAAAGCGTATACGTAATAACAATTAACTGGCGAAGAAAATTTTGATCACGTCTTCGTGTCGCATGAGTAATAGAACAAAGAAGAGGAAAGGAGCTTTTTTCGATTATGAGAAAGTTCTCATGACAGAACATTCAACTTTTAATTCCAACAGCTGGAAACAACGCGGAAACGACAGTCAAACGTTCGTATTTTTCTCGCATTGGTAGCCAGGATGTCTGATTGCTATGACGATGAAGGTTTTCGCGTTGCCTGAATTGGCGGAATGTTCGATTATTGAGACAAAACGAACTTATATGAAAAGGAACAAGTACGATGGTCCATCCCAAAATATACAATAGAATCGCCACGTGACGCACTCTATTTTTCTTCTTCCCGTTGTTTCGACGAATTTCGAGGAGCCAGCCATGTACGTGAATCGCGTGTCGTTGCGTCGAATAAAAGAATCGTATAGATGATTGTTAATCCTTGTTAGCGCGTAAGAACGTACACCGCATATATATTTAATATATAGCGTGTAAACAGAATACCGGATGAAGGAACTATATATATATATATATATACATATATATATATATATAAATGCAAATATACAAGAGGTATATATATATATATTAACAAAAAAGGGAAAAATTCAGTAAAAAAATAAATATATAGATATGATATGTTTTATACGCTGCATGTCATCCTTAGTGAGAAATAACGTGATCATCGTAATGTGTCGTTCGGAATATTCTGCATGGTGTTGCTTTTATTTTTATTTTTTTTTTTTTTTTTTTTTTTTTTTTTTTTTTTTAGCGATTAAACGATGCACGAAGGGGAATCAGCAGGATAGGCTTCAACGCGAAAGGACGAACGAACAATAACACCACTCTATATCCATCACTCGTGAAACTTTCTCCGACCTCTCGCGGGTCTCGTTGAAGGAATCTGTTGCGTTGTTTCGTCCACGAACTTAGTTGAAATTTTCCGCATATTCGATTAATCGTGAAAAAATAACACGCGAACGTACGCACGACTGTCGCCTGGCGCCTCGTTCGATCGAGTTCGGCTCAAAATATGAAGTCAATCGCAGTGCCTGAACCGCCGCAAAACTTGTAAATTATATAATCACGTAGTCGAAATTCCACGAAGAATTACTGTGTGGCGGAGGATGTACAAGATTTAAAAACTAATAATAATGAAACGAAACAAAAGACTCTCATATGTGCCAGCCACTAAGAATTTTCGAGGGTCTCTCTCTTTCTCTCTCTCTCTCTTTGGCTGAAACGAAACTCGTCGAGCGCCCGACAGCCGTGCACCCACGCGCAATTATTTAACGATGGACATTCGGTGTATCAACGATTTTGATACACCTGAAATCTCTTTCAGTATCGAAAAATTAAATACTTGGAGCAGACTCGAAGAAACCACGAAAGATCGAAATATTTTCTTTTATGAAATTCTTGGCATAGCGATATCGTGATCCGTGTAAATAGTCAAAGTTAGCCGGAAACTTGTATATTTTGAATACCGTTCGAAGCGATAAGTATTTCTCAACGTTTCCCGTGAAACAATCCGTGCTGCAATTTTCGAAACTTAGAATCGAAAAGAAAACCGCCAGATCTCAAGAACGTCGAATACGTTTTAACCTTCTTTCTCCGTGTTATACGATATTATACATTATACACGCGAACGTTTATGCATTTTTACGATGTTACAGGTAGAAAACCTAGTCTCGATACGGTGAGGCTATTAAATTATTCGCATCGGTTAACCCGTTACACGGCATTTAATAAGATTGTAAATTATACGTACGGCTGGTTCGATTTGGCGTAGAAAACGGGGAAAAACATTTGAATGTCCATCGCTGTTGCACGATTTCTTAATATATTCCTTCAACGTATTGAAAACCAGTTCAAAATCGTCCGTGGCAAAGGAAAAAGAGAAAGTCAAACGGATAGAACTATCGAGAGGAAAATGTATAGTTTCTTAGTCATTGTAAACGCTCGTGGAAACGTTATTTTTAGTAAACGATGGGTTGGTGATCGATGATCAAGACTCGGTGACTTGATGATCGATTACGAACGATTCGCGACTCTATGAAATGAACGAATCGTTAGTACAACAAATTGCATGTTGAATATAATAGAATCGAGTCCCGTTACGTGGAAACATTACGAGACGTAAGAGCCTGTCGGGAATCCTGTTGGTCGTGCATTAGGAAATCGTGGTCGATTTTCGAAAGCGATGTACGTTGGTATTCATTCGCGTTTGAAATCGAAGATTATCGTAATAAACGAACGAAACATTGAAAAGAAGAAACAAAAGGGAACACGAAGAAGAGGAAGGGAAAAAGAATTGTTCACCGATGGCAGTGTGTAGTCTATTGGTATAATAGTACACAATACGTCGCCGTAAGAAAGAGATCGTGTTGTAACGACGGTTGAAAAGAGTGGTGCGAAAGAGAGAAACGAACAGGAAGAGGGAAGAGGAGAGGTGAAAAGAAGATAAAACGAAGTTTTTGAAGGCGAGTGATCGAGCAAGTGTTTGGCTGTGCTGTAGAATAGGAAAGAAACGTGAGATTCGAGAGAAAGAATGAGAGAAAGAGAGGGTGTGAACGAGAGAGATAAAGAATTCAGATGTTAATCGAAGCCAGCGAAAGTATCAAATACTATAGTATTATAGCACTATGTATATATACATACATATATATATATATATATATATGGGTATATATATAGTAGTATAGTACTATATATAAAACAAAAAAGAAACTCGATCACGATCGAGATCCATTCGGTTCACGGTTGAAAAAACAAATTCTTAAAGATAAGAGCGTAACGTATTTAATGGTCTACACGTGTCGGCCTATACGTGCCTCCTAAAGTCACGACGATCTCTGCCTTTAATCAAGGAGAAAAGTAAGGGAACGTCGCGATAGCGTATCGAAAAAAAAAAAAAAAAAGAACAGTAATTGTTACACGGAAATTCGTGTGCGAATACTGTAGCTGATTATACATTGACATTTCGCTGCTTCGACAAGCTACAGTCTACCATGTATATATTTTCATTAATGTATGTATAATAAAAAGTATATTCGAGACAACGATCGGCTCTGTTTAGTGTGCGCTGTCTTGTCATTCTTCACGTGGGCTATATTATGGTCGGAGAATCGATACACATTTGGAATCGATCGAAACTGTTCCCGTTACGGAGAATATTTTTGGCTTCTGAATAACATATAACATATATATATTACCGCAATGACGTATTTCTTCTAGAAATAAATTTTAAATGAACAAACTTCGTCGGCTTTGTTTATGTTATGTAAAACGTTACCCGTTTACGTTCATCTTTTTTAATAAATTTTCAATGCATTCTCAATATTTTACACTATATATTATACAACGATCATAAATAAATATATTAGATAAATGCGTGTGATTATAAAGAAAAAAGAAAAAAAATTGCAGAAAAGCATAACTAGGAGAATCAAAAGAACGATGAATGAAATAGCGCGCGTACTTTTTTATTGAATGAATTTACGCATGCTGTGTGTCACGTGACTTCGCACGCGTTGCTTGGCAACGTAATCCATTTGTACGATTCGTACAGTCGCATGGCCGCGAGTCAGTTTGTCAGTTATTTGAATCACAAAAAATAGTTGATCGCTTAAATTGCGGTTGATAAGTTTTTATCGTTCTTCTCTGTGATGATCGTACAAATTATGTTATTCTTTCATGAATGAAATGAAATGAATGAACATTAAAAGGCATAGAGTCCTTTTCACGTAGAAACCAAAGAGGTTAAGGGAACCTAACCTGGAACATTTTGTTTTGCTCCCTATATTTATATTCTAATATTTGTTATTCCAATAAAATGACAGATATTGTATGTTACTTACGTTCGAAAAAATCAGTGATATCGAAGTAAGGAAAAGAAAATAATATTACGGTGGTTTATACAGCTTTCTTGTCATTATTTGACACGGTCGTGTACCGTGTTGATTGATAAAAGGTAAATATAATCTGCTGGTGATTCCAAATACACAATGAGCAAATACAGAAAAAAGGAATCCTCGAGTGAGGACAGTGATAGTGAGGAGGAAAGACGTAAGAAAGATATTAAAGAAAGAGATGAGTTCGCTAATCGACTGAAAGCAAAGGATGAAAGTAAAATACGAAAGGTGGCTATGCCAGCCGGTTCAGGTGCAGGTAGACTATGATCCTTTATAATCTTATGCTTTAGAAACAATTACAAACTTTATAAAAATATTAAATAAAAATATTTGGTACAATAAATACATTTCACAAGACTTATAAACAATTTATTATCATTATTATACTTAATCTGTACATATTGTGCCATAATTCAGTAATATATTGTAATTAGTTACATTTAAATATCAATGTGTATTAGTATTATTATTAATGACACTATTAAGTGTTAATAATGAATAATACTTTTTTGTAAAACCAGCTGAGGCTGCCAAGAGACTCAAAATTATGGAAACAGACATGCGAGAGAAATTGGTACCCAAACTGCGTGTTGAATCTCGTAGGAAATACTTGGAGAAACGTAAAGAGGATAAGGTGGCTGAATTGGAAGCTGATATAATTGACGATGAATATCTGTTTGAGGAGGAAATGTAATTTCTTATTAATACAACACAATAATTACACAAAGCAATTGTACAATTACATACTCTATTAACATCTTTCTTTTTAATGTCAGATTAACAGAACGGGAAAGGAAAGAGCGGGAGCATAAAAAGCAGTTGCTTCAGTTAGCCAAAGAACATGAGAAAGCCAGAGAACTTGAAAGGTTGCAACGTTACTATATGCCTTTGGAAAAGGGGAAAGTGGCACCAGAATTGGAAGTTCCCGATAACGAACCGCCACAATCCGAGCAAAGCAAATGGGAATCTGATCAGATGTCTTCTGCTGTCTTTCGATTTGGCGCAAAAGACAGAAAAGGTACACGGTATTCAATGTCGATACGTGTTAAAATGTTCGTATCTTACTTTTTATTAATTTCTATTAATTTCAGCACAACAGGACTACGATCTTCTGCTGGAAGATGAAGTGGAGTTCGTTCAAGCGTTACGTATGCCTGGCAGTGAGAAGAACAGGAAACGCGAGGATAGTCCTCCTCCACAAGTAAAGGCGTTACAGACTATACAGGAGACAAAAAGGAGTTTACCGATCTATCCCTTTAGAAATGATCTCATTCAGGCTATCAAAGACCATCAAGTACTTTACAGAATTCGTTAAATCAAACTTAAATTATATAAGATAAGCATTGA